TGTCTATAGAAACTTACGAGGCAGTTAAAAGTTCGCAATTGCTCAATCGTGATTGGTTCTTGGTAATCCAGAATGGCCGCCACTTTGCTTTTAGGGGGTCGGATGCCTTGAGCATCAATGTTATGTCCTAAGAAGTCTAAGGAGTCGGATCCTATTTGGCATTTCTGAATGTTTACGGTAATTCCATTTCTTTGAAGTCGTTCGAAAACAATGTCCAGATGCTGAAGATGGGATTCTCTCTCCGGACTTGCTATCAGACAGTCATCAACTTACGTATGTACAAAGCTGAGACCTCGGAAGACGTCATCTATGAACCTCTGGAAGGTTTGAGCAGCATTCCTTAGATCGAAAGGCATTCGTAAAAATTCGTAGAGATCGAAGGAAGTTATGATAGCGGTTTTTGGAATGTCGTCAGTAGCCATAGGGATTTGATTATAAGCTCTAACCAAGTCGATTTTCAAAAAGACAGCTGCACCTTTCAAGGTAGCTGTCAAATCGTGAATATGAGGCAACGAGTAACGATAGGGAATGGTTTTGGCATTCATGTATCGATAGTCACCAATTGGACACCAATCTTTGCTGTCCTTTTTACAGACCATGTGCAAGGGAGATGACTATGGGCTATTTGACGGTCGAATGATTCCTAAGTCTATCATGTGGTCGAATTCGTTTTTAGCCAACCTAAGGTTTTCGGGAGCCAGACGGCGTGATTTCGAGAATACATGTGGTCCTGTAGTCGTGATGTGATGTGTAACATTGCTCTCTACACACGGCCATTTCGGTTGCGGTTGATATGTCCCAGAGTACTTATCGAGTGATGGTTGATATAAGAGGTCTATGGCCTGCTTAATTGTGACTGGGGATAAACTACAACCAGAAAGAAGAGTTACACAAACAGATAACTTAGTGTTTCCGTCTATTAACCTTCGTGAGCGTGTGTCGATGATTAGATTGTTGTATTGTAGCAGGTCTATACCAATGATTGGCATAGAGACATCTGCGACCACGAAAATCCAGTGAATGGATTTGCGTAAACCCATGTTAAGGTAAACGTACCTTTTACCATACGTATCGATCTGTTTTCCGTTTGCCGCCTGTAAGCTTAAAACAGACTCGTGTAGTCTGTCGTTAGAATTCGCGGGAAAAACGCTAACTTCTGCGCCAGTGTCGACGAGGTAGCGACCTTTCGTTGTCACGTCCGTGACGCATGTTCGCCACGCAACAGTTGCCGTTAACGAGTGCCGCCTGGGAAGTTTCCTGATTTTTCTTCGTGTCGGTCGACTTGGAGTTCGGGTAATTTCAGGGTTTCCTGCAATTTCCAGAAGACTTTCCATACTGCTTATGATACCAGCACCAGTCGAGGTTATCAGTCTCTCGTGGTCTAGAGACAGATCGCCTACGTGAAATGCTTCTTCTCGAGGTATGTGACCGTTTACGGTCATTACGAAAACAAAGACAGCGTGTCAGTGTATGACACAGTTCCGAGATGTCATTCTGGGTTGTTCGAGGTTTTTCTGTCACTGAAAAAACCTCAGAGTTAGCGGATATAGTGATTTCTAAGATGCGGCCGGCAGATGCAGCTAGTTCGTCTACGGCGTTGTTTTGAAACGAGACCAGAACTGCTCGCATCTGTTGCGGAAGTTTCGATAAAAAGAGCTGCTTAAATGCGCCTTCGTTGAAAGTTCTTTGACTTATCACCTCTCTCATCCTTAGCAACATCTCTATCACAGAACCATGTTGAAAGTCGATGTTATTAAGGAGTTAGTCTAACCTTTGTCGGTTGGTTAGATCTCCGCGTCTCAAAATCGATCGTTTAAGAGTTTCGCAAGGTTCCGAAACATGACTAGTGAACATACTAGGTGTTACGTACAAGACAATTTCACACGATAGTGCCTTAACAACCGCGAGGAACTGTGTGCGTGACTCCATAATGCCGTGCCCGCAAAAGTCAGCTTCAGCGTAGCAGAACCAGTTTTCGATTTTGTCCGGCCAAAAAGGCCCTAGTTGAAACGAGGGGGGATAGTCTTTAACTTAAATACTTTGAGTGTCTGTTCCGTCATGGTGAAAAATCAAGTATTATAATGAACGAAAAATAAATAATTTAAACATATCCGAAACCTCGAAAATAAAATATATCACAATGTATATAAATCGAATACGGTAAAACAATGATTTATGAAGCTCTAAAAAGGAACAGACTCACAGTTTATCGTTTGGTGTACCAGACCACGTTGCGTTCACCACTGAAGGTACCACCAGTATTGTATTTTGACAACTCTTTACTAGTAACACCTTCTATAATCGAATCGTGCCCACCCAGTTAAAATCAGAAGCCACAAGCGAGGACGTTGGAAGATATATTTGGTGGTTTATCAATATATGGAGAAGTGACCGATGTAATCCGGCTAATGATCGTAAGAGGTGTTTCACATGCTGTGTTGTAACATGATCTGGTACGGATTCATGACCGAGCGCCTTCGGCTAAACGAGTTCACTAAAACTAATGTGGTCAGCATCCAATGTCGAAGACTTACAAAAATATTAATTTTGGGGAATTATTTACAGCTACACATTGATCAAACTTGCAATTCATTGTTGAATCACCTTCATGTTTCTACAAGAATATGAATCATTATTAAACAAACGCTTGTTTGATCGACCCTGAGAGTGTACTTCATCATGATGACTAAGCAAAGTGTTGGAAATGTACACCTACTGGTTATGAAGCTCATTCATGAAACCGAAAGTAATAATGTAGGAACCGATCATATGACTAGAGTTTACGTAAAATGTGAGCGTGCTTTATGGCAATTGATTAATTGTGACTATCATTGGTCGATAAATAATAACAGCAGGATATATAGTTGTTACAGGCACAAAAAACTAGATAAATCACAACTTACGTCAAAGTTAGCACTCTACTGGTAAATCCTTACTAGCGATTTCCAAGTTATTGGTATAACTGTGTCCTTGTAGGAAAGGCTGACATTGATATATCCTCACGCATTCCTAATTGCCAATACTGTTTGCCGCAAAGTTCAGAATGTCCATTCTAACAGTTGTCGCAATAGGCATAAGAAAGAACTTCATTCGTCAGATAGTGACAAAAGAGAATATAAATACACGGAAGACATGGGACATTAACAAGCTGATGCAATACACATCTATATCATTGAAGTTTATCATCAGTTCTAAAACCCTTAGTTCTTCAAATCAACTGGGTGAGACGAATAGTTTGCTTGATTGCGTAACACTGAGGTATGCAGTGGCATAGAAGGATTTGCAGTTCCATTGTCCGAAGTGTATCGGAACCCTATCCTATAAAATAAGTTGAGTTGAAGCCAGCAGAACGACACCTGTGCAAATCTGAATAAAAGATCCTTTGAAATGAATATGTAGGGAAGTTGGAATAACAATGAGATCCAAAAAACCTGACTTTTGTTTACCTTGCCACTGGTTATATAAATAGTATCTGGTATTGGTGTCGATCAATTTTGGTTCAATCACAGGTGTATCCTATTATGTGTCATATGGTTAACGTGATGAATATTCTGTTCAAACTTTCACACTCAGGATGCAGAATTTCTGATCGACATGCCTTACTTTTCCTTGGTTAGCGGGACTATAATCTATAGACGAGACATTAAGGCAAAAGATATTCGTATAAAGATAGATTCGTATTGGAATAACTGGTGCAATACAGGAATGGATAGGAAGCTTCTTATGTGACCGCAGACAGAGAGTGAGGGTCAATGGAAACCGGTGAAAAGTGGTGTACCCTAAGGCACCATTCTAGGCCCTTTACATTTCCTTCTGTATGTTAATGAACTACATCTACTACTTAAGTCTTCCACATTATTGTTTGCAGATGATGTTAAAATCTAGAGAACAATAAGAAGTGAGGCTGATCGTTGTCATCTGCAAGCTGATTTAGGGCCTGGAAGTTAATTGCAGGAAGAGCGTGCTCATGAACATCAGACACGGTAATAGTTACCATTATGCCATTAATGGTACATCTCTTCCACGCGTTCAAGAACATAAAGGCTTAGAAGTAACTATAAGTCACAACATGAAAACTACTACGCACTGCGACTTGACTGCTTCCAAAGGATATCGTGCGCTATGGTCACTTCGCCGAGCATTTAAATGCTTTGACGAGATGTTTCGAATTTTATATCCCACCTATGTAAGGCCACACTTAGAGTACTGCATCCAAGCAGCTAGCCTGTGTCCGATAAAGGATACTCAATCACTTAAGCGTGTCCAGCGTGTGGGGGACAAAATTAGCAAAGTGTCTTTCTAAACTCCCTTACGATGAGCGTTTGAAACGTTTAAACCTTTTTCACCTTGTCTTATCATAGGACGTGAGGTGACCTTATATTGGCATTTCAAGTCGTTAATTATGATTTCGGTGTTATTATGTCTTACCTTCTTGCTCCCTCCAGCACTAATAATCTCCGAGGTCATAGCAAGAAGATTCACAAACCACGATCTAATAAACTAAAGGTGGGGTCCCATTTTTCTTATCGAATGGTCAAGGACTGGAACTCATTACCCGAACAAGTGGTATTAGTCCCATCAGTGAACATTTTTAAGGAAAAGCCGGACCTTCACTGGAAGGCAATCTGTCAGGATTATTACAGGTTCATCAACCTACTATCCTTATTACTGAAGACTGAAAATATAACAGGTACCGCATTTTGGTTTAAAATTCGCTCACCCATTTGGCAAAGTGCGGTTTTGGCATTATAGATGATGTCATTCCGTGATGAAGACTCTGAATCTTGTTCTCACCCTAACTGTCAACTGTAAATCATAATTCTAATTCCTCATGCAGGTTTATAATCTTCATTTGCTCTTAGTTATTAGCTGGAAGCTCTCAAGGTCACTTCAGGGTCGTTTGAAGGTCGTACATGAGTTATAGTCTTGCCTGCTTTAGTTGTTTGGATATTTTTGAGTCATAAATTTAAATCATCCCTATTCGTTTGGATCTTCATCCCATGTATAGATTCAGTTTTCCTCTACTACTGCGAAATTATGGTAGTGGGACCAAGCAGTCAGGTAATCTGTGTCCTACGGCGTATACGTAATTTTAGTTTTTCCAAATAGATTGAAGGTATTAAGATCCAAGCTAGTCCTAGGAACATGCGGTGTAGTGTGTGGATATGTTGGGTTTTTGCTGCTTACAGATAGTGAAGATACACCAGAATACTATCCTCGTCATATAGCTGTAAGTGCCTTTTTATGAAAATTATATTAATCATATAACTACTACTTGGAATTTTCGTTTTTGTTGATACACGTATAGATCTTGGTTCAAGCTGCTTTTTTTCTACCTTAAAGTGTGAGGTTCTAAACACAGTAAACTAAAAATCCCCTGATTTTATCGCCAGTCCTGTCAGAGTTTTTCACATTCACATCGGTTCAAGGGGTCAAGTATTGTTACGAACCATAACTTGGTTACCGAATCTCAGTTTTGGTTTGGAAAGGACACGGTATTAAGTGGCCTGTTTTAGTTCTGGCAATGTAAGTTCCATCGGTCGGTTCAATTTTAATATTAGTGTGCCAATAGGATGGAGCTTTGACCACGTGTTATGGTAAGGAGTTTTACGTGTTGATTAATTGATGTGAAAGTCGGCAATCTGCTGGCAAGTAGTTGGTTTAGAGTGTTTGGACTTATTTGGAGTGCTCTTTCAGATCCCCTGTTTTGTGAAACAGTAAAATTGAGAACTTGTTATGTATAAATAATTAGTAAATGCTTTGAGGGCCGCGATCAGATCACGTAACAAGAGTAATACATTTCGTTTGATCAACATTTTACAAAACAGCTGCTTTTCTATCCTAGTAATTTTTATTTAGTCCGTGACCTTCAGATTTCTGTTTGTACGATGTTCAGGTGAAAATTATGTTAGACGATCTGTCCGAAATGGAAATCTATAAACTGTAGCGTTATTTCGATTGATAATGATGACAAACTTGCTAGTTTACGCCTTACACTAACTTGTTTGTGATTTTGCCTATTTCGTTTGCTTTCTGGTTAATTTCCTACTGAACCACTAAATAACAAACAAATTTACACTTTGGAGTGTAATGTTTTGTTCACCCGTGACCTAAATCATTAATGGGGCATGAAGGTTTTTCAAATAAGGTTAATATAATACAACTTGACCAGAATCATGTACCTGAATTACAAGGTGCCATTAGGATCCATTTAAGTCACATCTAAATTCTCTAGATCTTCAGTTGTAACAAGTAATTCGTTTTTTAATTACAATATCTAACATACCAGCCTTTCATTATCTCTGTCTACTTCCTATTTGTAGGCTGCACTTTGTCGGCACATTCCACTGAACAGTTTGTCTAAATTTTGGGGTCGGTTGGCTGAATGTCATATCCCAGTATTCTTAAGACCTATAATCTACCATTCCTACTCGCAATTGTTCCGTTGTGATTTAAGCGAAGTTGAAAATCCTGACTTAAAAAGCTATACGTGTCTATCAGATTTTTTTATCCGAAAGATTGCTACAGATAAACGTCCTATTCATTATTCGGCGTCATTAGTAAGTAATCTATTTCACTCACTGGTTCATATATATATATATATATATATATTATTTATTTATTTATTTAATCACATATGTATTGGTACAAAGGGCACCGGATACATATGCGCCACACAAAATAATGAGAATGGGAGGAGAAGGAAGATGTGTATATATAAAGGAAGGAAAAGATGAAAAAAAGAGAAGAGTAATGATGGGGGAATTGAAATGTACAACAAGAAGAGCTCTCTCAGTTAGGAAAGTTATAGCAAATCTTTATGAAGAAAGTAGAAGAAGGTTACAACAGGATCGCCACTGGCTTCTATTCTGAGCCATATCTGATAACGTCTCTAGCCACTGTGTTGCACCATCTCTCGGACCCCAGCCAGGGAGTCGTGAAGGACCAACAGAAGCTAGCCCTTTGCAGCTTTCTTTCATATCACGACACCATGTCATACACTGACCACCTCTTCGCTTTTTCTAACCAGTCCCAGAGTCGGCAAATAATGCACGACGTGGAATTCTCTGGGAAGATATTCGTAAAACATGTCCAAGCCACCGAAGTCTGTGTTTCAAGATGGTGACACCAATTGAATTATCGTCTCTGCGCCCGAACACACGATGCCGAACTTCTGCATTACTAACTTGATGTTGCCACTGAATGTCAGCAATCCTTCGGAAACAACGATGATCGAACACAGAGAGACGTCTAACATCCTCAACTCGGAGAGGCCAGGTTTCACAAGCATAGAGCAAAACTGCTCTTACCGACGCGTTGTAGATCGGACCTTTTACAGCCAGACTAACATCACGAAGGCGCCAAAGATGGCCCAGATTGGCATAAGCCGCTCTGGTTTTCATTATACGTGCATGACTCTCATCACTCATGCCACCACCAGCACTTATATAGCTACCTAGATACACGAACTTCTCAGCTACTTCAATCTGCTCACCATTTGGGGTGAGTACAGGATGAGAATCCTGCCAGTCTTGTAGGAGTACCTTGCACTTGGAGGGTGTGAAGCACATGCCTTACCTGCGGACACTGATTGCCAACTGATTAAGTGCGGATAGCATGCCTTGGGCATTATCACACAGTAAGACGATATCATCCGCATACTCGAGGTCGAGAAGTCGTTCTCCAGGCAGCAGATCCACACCACCATTACTTACATCCATAAGAGCTGTTTCCAGGATGTCGTCGATGACTTCCGGCAGTTACCAAATGCAGCTGCTGCTTCCATCTCATTAGCACGCTCCGACCACCAGGGTTCTCGGTCCTTACGCAAGCTTTGCCCGATTTCACTACGTAACAGCCTTCGCTTGTGGTCAAACTCACGGTCACCCGGAGTAGACCGACGGGCTTCGATCAGTTGTAAGGGGCCAGAAGAAACCCAGTGCTTGTAAGCGGGACGTTTCGCGAAGCCGCAAGCGGCTTTACTCGCCATTTTCATGGCGTCGTGAAGATGCAACCAATGCTCATCTATACTTTTCGGTGGGATGGTAGCTAGCCTAGAAGCTAGCTCCGCTCGATACTTACTTGCAACAGAAGTTGCAGCCAGTTTACTAACATCTGTAGGAAGCAATTTCCTACAGGGGTAACTTTAAGCTATTCTCTAAACTGTCGAATACAGAGTCTTGGTTTCGCCAAAGTCAAAACAAGTAAGCTATTTGGCTTAATAAACTTTATCTGTTTCTAAAACGTAAATTAACAACATTAGTATACGAATAAACAGTAGTCTATTACATAGGGAAAAGGTGAAATATAAATGACATACCGAACAGTAAGTGGAGAATAGGAAAAATGAGTCAAAGGGGAGAATATTGTTCCAGAATGAACATAAAATTGTGATTGGTGGATAAAACAAAGACAGTCATACAAGGTCAAAGAATTTAGTGCGGTGGTGAGCGTTTCACCTATCATTGGTGTGTTCACTTATCGATCACACTTTACACTCCCCCCGAAACGCGAACTACGTCCGTCGTCGTATGTCGGCGTCAGATAACCGGCTTCTTCCAATAGACACAGGCTTCGCAAATCCCGAAGATTTCTTCGTTTGCCATTCTCAACCTTGCTGTACGAACTCGTCCGTCAGGGCCGTAGCTTACTTGTTCGACAATGGCTTTAGGCCATAGACTTCTGCTCGTTTCAACGTTACTCACGAGAACTAGGTCGCCGGGTTGTAGATTTCTGCGTACGTTTAACCATTTATCTCTTGTTTGAAGAGTCAGTAGATATTCTCTTATCCACCTATACCAAAATGAGGTAGTTAATCTTTGAGCTTCTTTCCATCTTTTATTGTATAATAAAGTCTTATCCACAGAAACATTGCCGGATGATAATCCTTTGTAAGTCAACAACGATTTATCCGGTATAAGAGCCTCTAGGGTGCCAGGATCATCTGTCATTTTAACTAGTGGTCTGTTATTTAGTATCCTTAAAGCTTCATCGATCGGCACACTTTGAAATAAAAGCGCTCTTAGAATAGTCCAATAGATGACCGATGAAATGGGAATATTTAACTGTTCTTTTGCGTACTTGCCGACTTTAGTACAAAGAGCACATACTGTTAATTCCATTCTGGTTAGGTTTCCAAGATACTCACGAACTTTGAAACATGATTCTTTTGTTCGGATGTTCCACTCGATTCCCAGAGTTCGCTTACTCGTCCCATTAGACTCGCAGACGGTAACGTTTCCTTCAGTACGGTCTTCCTCTGGGTCGAACTCCAACACTTCAATATTATTGCTAGTCCATTTAGTTAAATTATATCGTCCCAAACTTATGAGTCTTTTAAGATGTGAATACGTCAGTTTAGCTTCTTCTATAGCATCTATACTTAACAATAAGTTGTCAACATAAAACTGTCCCTTAGTTAAGTGCGTAACAACCCTGGGAAATTCATCTTGATTGTCAGAATTCGTTTTCTGCAAGGCGAACGTGACGCTACATGGCAATGAGGTTGCTCCGAACAGACAGACTTTCGTTCTATAGATCTCTGACTCCTTTTCTAAGTCCCCACCTGGCCACCACAAATACCTAAGAGCATCTCGATCCGGAACTACTACTTGATGGAACATGGCTTCAATGTCCGTCGTAAGACCTATCGGTCGTTGCCGAAACCTGGTAAATACGTCTACTAGGTTATTGACTAAATCAGGTCCAGAATAAAGATTCTTGTTTAAAGACGTTCCAGCATACTGAGCTGCACAATCAAAAACTATTCTTAACTTGTTAGGCTTCTTGGGATGAAAGACAGGGTGATGAGAAAGATACCAAATTCGTCCATCAACGTGGTTATCGTTTACCTTTTCAGTATAATCTCGTTCTATATACTGAGTCATAGTGCTCGTATAGTCTTGGAGCAACTTCGTATCCCGAATAAGTCGACCCTTTAAACAGTTAAGTCTACGTTCTGCTAATTTCTTATTATTAGGTAACTTGTGTTCGTGCCTCCAAGGCAGAGCTATTCGATAGTGCCCATTTAACCTTTGCACTGAATTTGATATAGCATTGAGTGCTATACAGTCTTCTACAGACATCGGCGTAATACAACTAAATGGATCTTTGAATTCAGTTGAGTATAGTTGTTCAAACTTGTCCTCTAATTCCTCTTTATCTGAGAGGTAATTAAGTACACGTTTGTTTCCATGAAGTTCCCCGTAGGGACCAAACAACGTCCAATCTAATAGAGTCCTCACGGCAGACGGTTCATTCGTGTTTCCGGTTCTTATCTCTTTCATCTCGTGTATATTCGGTACATTACACCCAATCAACAGTTTGACATTCTCGTTTTTTACTCTCGGAAAACTTATGTCTTTTAAATGAGACCAGGTTGCCATTTGATTTGCCGTTGGCACAGTCCTGTGAACCGACGGTAGTTTTTCGACTGTCAACACTTTCTGCACCTTAACAGATGACGAAAAATCTATCGAGTGCAACTCTACATCAACCTCCTTGGATATAAAAGACGATTCATTACTAAGAGTTTTTAAAGACACAGTTTTTGGTTTTCCCTCGAGGCTTAACTCCTTAGCTAGATCATCAACAATGAGGGACGTATCTGACCCACTATCTAGCAAGGCGCAAGTCTGAATAATCTTCTCACCATTTTTTAACCATACAGGCACCACTGCAAATGCTACTGGTCTCTGCATACGCTTAACACTTTCGTCCGTACAGAACTGGGTATTAATGTAAACATCACTATTGCTAACTTTCTGTTCTTTCTGCTTCTCGTGTAACAGGGTATGATGTCTCCAACCGCATCCTTCAACAACACATGACCTCGGCGATCGACAGTTTCTTGCTACGTGGTTAGCCTTCAGACAAACATTACATAACTTGTTTCTAAGAACGAATTCTTTCCTTTCTCTAACATTCTTGTCTTGAAACTTCTGACACTGATCTAAAGAATGATTACCTGAGCACTCCAAACAGGATGAACTAAGTAAAGGGACATTGTCATCATTAATACTCGCGTAAGATATCCTTGCTGCATTGTAATCTGCACTAATTCTACCTTTTAAAACCCCAACATCCCTATTGTCACTATTACTACCGCGATTGACGAGTAATCCATACCGAGTATTAGCCATATCCGCTTGTTCCTTTACAAAGGCAGTAAGGTCGACGAACAGAGGCTCACGACCTCCTCTGATAATCTTATAAGCTGTCTTTAGCCACTTTTGTTGAACATGCGTCGGTAATTTCAGAACCATAGCTTCAATAGTCCTGGTAGAGTTCAGGTCAGAAACGTAATTCATTTGTTCGAGAGTCAAACAGCATGCTTGCATTTCCCGGGACAATTTTCTTAAACCATCTGGTTGGTTCCTTTTTATATTGGGAAAATTTAGCAAGTTGTCGATGAACGTGCGTGCTATTACGTGCTTTTGACCAAAGGTTTCTTCTAAAAGCTTTAGGGCTTGATGATAGCCTATCTCTGGTTCTAGTATAGCACAATGAAGGATGGCGGCTTTGGCTTCGCCGTCACAATATTGAATCAAGTAATTTAGTTTAGCTCTAAATCCAATATTTTCACATCCGATGCATTCCTCGAAATTTCTAATAAAATTCCAGTAATTTATTGGTGTACCATCGAATCTTAAGATTTCCCTTTTTGGTAAATACAGATTTTTTAATATTACATCCTCGTTGTTTATTGATCGACCGAGACCCTCACTTCCCTGGCGACGTAACTTTTCTAACTCAATTTCCTTTTCCAACTGAGTTATACGTAGTCTAGCTAACTCTAATTCTATCATGCTATTAGTTTTGGGTTTGTCCTTTTCAAGTTGGTCCTCATCATAAACTCCTAGATGATGAGGTGATAACTCTGGAATCTCATCGGAATCGTAGTATTTATTAGAAGTCATTTTTGTGTCGAGGTTTACTGTTCGAAACTTTCTAGGAAGCAATTTCCTACAGGGGTAACTTTAAGCTATTCTCTAAACTGTCGAATACAGAGTCTTGGTTTCGCCAAAGTCAAAACAAGTAAGCTATTTGGCTTAATAAACTTTATCTGTTTCTAAAACGTAAATTAACAACATTAGTATACGAATAAACAGTAGTCTATTACATAGGGAAAAGGTGAAATATAAATGACATACCGAACAGTAAGTGGAGAATAGGAAAAATGAGTCAAAGGGGAGAATATTGTTCCAGAATGAACATAAAATTGTGATTGGTGGATAAAACAAAGACAGTCATACAAGGTCAAAGAATTTAGTGCGGTGGTGAGCGTTTCACCTATCATTGGTGTGTTCACTTATCGATCACACTTTACAACATCGATCCGTTGATGGCGGTCAATCCTTCGGCCACTGAAAAGTAAGGTGAGATTGGCGCAGACCAGGGCATGATCAGACTCCAGATAGGTACTCCAAAAGGAGCGGCAGTCTTGTACACAACCACGCCAGCGGTAGCTGATCGCGATGTGATCAATCTGAGTCCAGGCTTGAGATGCAGAGGGAGGACGCCAGGTGGCACACCGGCGATGACTGTGCCGGAAGTTAGTGCTGGCTAGAAACAGGTTGTGGTCTGTGCACAGTTGCAGCAAACGGTCCCCGTTATCTGTCCTGCGACCAAGAAGTCCCCATCGGCCACCTAAACGACTCTCTTTTGTGCCTAGACGCCCGACCTGTGCATTCAAGTCTCCGGCTAGTACTACAATATCTGTCGAACGCTCTTTCTGGAGCAGAACTGTTAACTGGTGGTGGTAAATCTCATCCTTGATTGCATCCGGGCTGCAATCTGTCGGGGCATAGGCGGAGATGACTAAAAGACACCGTTTCTCACGCCGATTTCTTCTCACTTTGATGGAACTTTCTAATCTAACAGCACATAACCGACTGTTAATGGGATCCAATCAATTAGTGCTGCCTCAGCTCTAGCGCTTAGTGCAACACCAATGCCAGCAAGACCAGACGAAGATGCTACAGGGTCCCCGGATAAGCGCACGTGAAACAAGCTTTTCGAAGCGACAGACGGAGAGCGAATTTGTAGTACTTCACTAGAGTCTTGAATACGGGTCAACATTAAGACTTTCCGAAGACAGCCAGCCCCATCTGTTGTCCGATCTGCATTAGTGTGCGAACGTTGAAGGAAGCCAGCTTAAACGGCGTACGTGGTTTCAGAAAGACTGCTTCACTATTCATAATCGGTGGAAGCATTCACTTTCAACCAGACAGTGACTGGAGATCGTTTAGATCGGACAGAGTTTCCACCATGTGCGATCTACTGCATAAGTTGAAAAGTAAGGTTACACAAATTGGGGATAAAAGGGGGTAAATTAGCGATATGGTAAATAATAATAGTAATGATGCAAATTGTTTTGTTCCTAGTATGAACGAGAATATAATTGTCAGTTGAATGTTCCATTTCATTTATTTGCGAGAGGGCTGTGATACTGCCCGGATGCCCAAACCGAAGCATATATATATATATATATATATCTGTCGTGCTCTTTTGTTTTGTACAGTCATTTTAAACTCCTGATCTAAAGGGTTTGTAAAACAAGAAAGTCAAGACTATGGAAATCTTCATTGGCAAAATTAAAGGGTAGCGTTTATAGCTCATTCGTATTTCTGGGCCTCCAGGCTAACAGGAATATATGGACGGTGTTGTTGAATAAGGGAACAATTCACTTATTGATAATATCCCTTACTTGTATCTCACCATGTATCTCTAAAGTGTGTTCAATTTTTGTGGAGTGTATCATGGCATTATAATGGACACTTGAAAAAGTTCTATTTGTTACATGTGTCATCGACTAGTTCCATATTGAGTAATTACATTTTAAAAACTTAATGTTCTCTCAACGTATGTTTGTCGCAGCATCATAGTCGATAAAACCACCTGTAGGAAGCAATTTCCTACACGTGCAACTCTAAGGTATTCTCTAGACTGTCGAGCACAGAGTCTTGGTTTCGCCAAAGTCAGAACAAGTGAGCTATTTGGCTTCATAAACTTTATCTGTTTCTAAAAAGTAAATTCACAATGTTAGTACACAAATAAACAGTACAGTCTATTACATAGGGAAAAAGAGAGACATAAATAACATACCGAACATTAACTAGAGGATAGGAAAAATGAGTCAACAAGGCGAATATTGTTTTACAATGAACATAAAATTGTGGTTGGTGGATAAACAAGACATAGTCATACAAGGTCAAAGAAGGTTAGTGTGCTGGTGAGCGTTTCACTTTATCATCGGTGGGTTCGTTTATCGATCTCACTTTACACTCCCCAGGAAACGCGCACCACGTCCATCCTCCTGGGTCGTCGTCGTCGCCGTCAGATAAGCGGCTTCTTCCAGTAGGCATAGGCTTTGTACATCCCGAAGGATTTCTTTGTTTGCCGTTCTCAACTTTGCTGTACGAACTCGTCCATCAGAGTCATAGCTTACTTGTTCGACAATGGCTTTAGGCCATAGACTTGTACTCGTTTCAACGCTACTAACGAGAACTAGGTCTCCCGGTTGTAAATTCTTGCGAACGTTCAACCATTTATCTCTTGTTTGGAGAGTCGGTAGATATTCTCTTATCATCCACCTATGCCAAAATGTGGTAGTTAACCTCTGAGCTTCTTTCCATCTTTTATTCGATAATAAAGTCTTATCCACAGAAACATCGTCAAATGATAATCCTTTATAAATCAACAACAATTTATTCGGAGTAAGAGCCTCTAGGGTGCCAGGATCATCTGTCATTTTAACTAGTGGTCTGTTATTTAATATCCTTTCTGCCTCAGTCAAGAACGTTTGCAAAGCTTCATCGGTCAGCACATTTTGAAATAAAAGTGCTCTTAGAATTCTAATAGATCTTATGATGCGTTCTCACACACCGCCTCGATGACTTGTCCTAAGTGGGTTGAAACGCCATTCACATTCTCGTTCATTGAGGTGGTTCTCTATTTTGTTTTGATCTCAAGAGCATATAGTCCGTCTCAAGCTAGCATCTGCACCTCGGAAATTTGAACTGTTATCGCTAAAAATACGCTTCGGGCATCCTCTTCTGGAAATAAACCCTGATAATGCGCATAAAAATGAATCCGTGTCTGAAAAGTAAGCCATTTCATTGTGAACAGCTCTAATAGATAAGCAGGTGAATAAACAGCCGCAACGTTTCTCAACGACATTTCCACGTTTGGTATACAATGGTCCGAGATAATCCACACCTACTTGGCTAAATGGCGGCGAATGAGTTTCTAGTCGGTACTCCGGCAACGGCGCCATTATTTGGGAGCATGGCATAGAGTAGAGTCTTCTACATAAGTAGCATCGTTTTAGAACTTTCCGGACGGCAGAGTATCCTCTAACGATCCAATACTCTTCACGAATACCACTTAAAGTTTGAGTAACTCCGACGTGCGTGTTAATCAAATGATGATGCATTTTAATCATATCTGTGACAAAGTGATTATTAGGAAGAATAATAGAATGTTTGGTTTCAAAGGGTAAATATGATAATTGCAGACGTCCTCCCACGTGGATCTTGCCTTCTAACATAAAGGGGTTGAGATTTCTTATCGAACTTTGATGGATTGATTTTTTCCTCTTGACCACCTTGTTCATTCTTTCCTGACTTTCCTGCTGTTTAGAAGCGTTGTCTCTGAGCGTTAACGGCGAACTGTCTAGAATTCTTTTTTCGACCGGGAATGCGGCACTTTGGACTAACTTAATTATGTCGCTCATCGATTTACCGATATCCCCAACACTTAGTGCGCCCGAGATCAAACATTTCCCATTCCTCTTGTTTAACGTATTATCGGTAAACCGCCTGCAGTATGGAAACACCCTCAATAATCTGGACCATGACTTACACGTACGAAATCGATCTAGAAACTCGTTGCATTTTGCGGATCCGAAATCTCTTGTTACTACATGGGCCACAGTGTTCTCATCCTTTCCTAGGTTAGGCCATTTCTCTTTTTCCTCCCACAGGAATCCTGTCCCTTGTAACCACTCCCTTATCTTAGCTTTATCACTTAGTGATAGTTCACGTGACGCGTTATCCACGGGATTCAATCTACTTTTCATGTATCTCTATTGGTTCGGCGTGGACAACTCATGTATGGTTGCTAACCTGTTACTCACAAACCTTTCAAATCTTTTAGTCGTATTTTTTATGCAATGAAGCACAATTGACGAATCCGTCCAATAGATGACCGATGAAATAGGAATATTTAACTGTTAAGATGGTGGTTCCTTTGCATGCTTTCCGGTCTTAGCACACACAACACAGGCTGTTAATTCCATTCTGGGCATAGTGACAAGTGTAAGAGGAGCAAATCCGGACTTAACTAGCAGAAGTGAGCAATGAATCTGACCAGAAACACTTTCATAAAGAATATACATAACAACACCATACGCAAGCTCAGAAACTTCGGCAAAACAATGAATTTGAGCAGATGATGGTTCAAACCTTGGTTTCAGACATCTTGGTATTCTCAAGTAGTCCGACTCTTTTATGTGTCTACACCGAATATTCCACTTCGCTTTACAATCCATGAGTAACTCTGCGTCCCAGTCTAATTTCTGCCGACAGGTATCTTATAAGATCGCTTTGGCTGGTAGTATTATTAGGGCTATAAACCCAAATAGATCAAAGATAGATGCTACGTACGACAAAATGTTTCTTCTGGTTAGGTTTCCATGAAATTCATGAACTTATTGGACTCACAGACGGTAATGTTTCCTTCAATACGGTCTTCCTCTGGAATTAACTCCAACACTTCAATATTATTACTAGTCCATTTAGTTAAGTTAAATCCTCCCAGTCTTATGAAATGTGAATATGTCATTTTGGCTTCTTCTATAGCATCCACACTTATCAATAAATCGTCCACATAGAGCTGTTCTTTAGCTGATGTACGAATTCGGTATCTTCCTAATCACCCTGTCTTCCATTTCGAGAAGCATAACAAGTTAAGAATAGTGTTCGATTGTGCAGCTCAGTATGCTGGAACGTCTTTAAACAAGAATCGTTATTGATAAGTGTGGATGCTATAGAAGAAGCCAAAATGACATATTCACATTTCATAAGACTGGGAGGATTTAACTTAACTAAATGGACTAGTAATAATATTGAAGTGTTGGAGTTAATTCCAGAGGAAGACCGTATTGAAGGAAACATTACCGTCTGTGAGTCCAATAAGTTCATGAATTTCATGGAAACCTAACCAGAAGAAACATTTTGTCGTACGTAGCATCTATCTTTGATCTATTTGGGTTTATAGCCCTAATAATACTACCAGCCAAAGCGATCTTATAAGATACCTGTCGGCAGAAATTAGACTGGGACGCAGAGTTACTCATGGATTGTAAAGCGAAGTGGAATATTCGGTGTAGACACATAAAAGAGTCGGACTACTTGAGAATACCAAGATGTCTGAAACCAAGGTTTGAACCATCATCTGCTCAAATTCATTGTTTTGCCGAAGTTTCTGAGCTTGCGTATGGTGTTGTTATGTATATTCTTTATGAAAGTGTTTCTGGTCAGATTCATTGCTCACTTCTGCTAGTTAAGTCCGGATTTGCTCCTCTTACACTTGTCACTATGCCCAGAATGGAATTAACAGCCTGTGTTGTGTGTGCTAAGACCGGAAAGCATGCAAAGGAACCACCATCTTAACAGTTAAATATTCCTATTTCATCGGTCATCTATTGGACGGATTCGTCAATTGTGCTTCATTGCATAAAAAATACGACTAAAAGATTTGAAAGGTTTGTGAGTAACAGGTTAGCAACCATACATGAGTTGTCCACGCCGAACCAATAGAGATACATGAAAAGTAGATTGAATCCCGTGGATAACGCGTCACGTGAACTATCACTAAGTGATAAAGCTAAGATAAGGGAGTGGTTACAAGGGACAGGATTCCTGTGGGAGGAAAAAGAGAAATGGCCTAACCTAGGAAAGGATGAGAACACTGTGGCCCATGTAGTAACAAGAGATTTCGGATCCGCAAAATGCAACGAGTTTCTAGATCGATTTCGTACGTGTAAGTCATGGTCCAGATTATTGAGGGTGTTTCCATACTGCAGGCGGTTTACCGATAATACGTTAAACAAGAGGAATGGGAAATGTTTGATCTCGGGCGCACTAAGTGTTGGGGATATCGGTAAATCGATGAGCGACATAATTAAGTTAGTCCAAAGTGCCGCATTCCCGGTCGAAAAAAGAATTCTAGACAGTTCGCCGTTAACGCTCAGAGACAACGCTTCTAAACAGCAGGAAAGTCAGGAAAGAATGAACAAGGTGGTCAAGAGGAAAAAATCAATCCATCAAAGTTCGATAAGAAATCTCAACCCCTTTATGTTAGAAGGCAAGATCCACGTGGGAGGACGTCTGCAATTATCATATTTACCCTTTGAAACCAAACATTCTATTATTCTTCCTAATAATCACTTTGTCACAGATATGATTAAAATGCATCATCATTTGATTAACACGCACGTCGGAGTTACTCAAACTTTAAGTGGTATTCGTGAAGAGTATTGGATCGTTAGAGGATACTCTGCCGTCCGGAAAGTTCTAAAACGATGCTACTTATGTAGAAGACTCTACTCTATGCCATGCTCCCAAATAATGGCGCCGTTGCCGGAGTACCGACTAGAAACTCATTCGCCGCCATTTAGCCAAGTAGGTGTGGATTATCTCGGACCATTGTATACCAAACGTGGAAATGTCGTTGAGAAACGTTGCGGCTGTTTATTCACCTGCTTATCTATTAGAGCTGTTCACAATGAAATGGCTTACTTTTCAGACACGGATTCATTTTTATGCGCATTATCAGGGTTTATTTCCAGAAGAGGATGCCCGAAGCGTATTTTTAGCGATAACAGTTCAAATTTCCGAGGTGCAGATGCTAGCTTGAGACGGACTATATGCTCTTGAGATCAAAACAAAATAGAGAACCACCTCAATGAACGAGAATGTGAATGGCGTTTCAACCCACTTAGGACAAGTCATCGAGGCGGTGTGTGAGAACGCATCATAAGATCTATTAGAATTCTAAGAGCACTTTTATTTCAAAATGTGCTGACCGATGAAGCTTTGCAAACGTTCTTGACTGAGGCAGAAAGGATATTAAATAACAGACCACTAGTTAAAATGACAGATGATCCTGGCACCCTAGAGGCTCTTACTCCGAATAAATTGTTGTTGATTTATAAAGGATTATCATTTGACGATGTTTCTGTGGATAAGACTTTATTATCGAATAAAAGATGGAAAGAAGCTCAGAGGTTAACTACCACATTTTGGCATAGGTGGATGATAAGAGAATATCTACCGACTCTCCAAACAAGAGATAAATGGTTGAACGTTCGCAAGAATTTACAACCGGGAGACCTAGTTCTCGTTAGTAGCGTTGAAACGAGTACAAGTCTATGGCCTAAAGCCATTGTCGAACAAGTAAGCTATGACTCTGATGGACGAGTTCGTACAGCAAAGTTGAGAACGGCAAACAAAGAAATCCTTCGGGATGTACAAAGCCTATGCCTACTGGAAGAAGCCGCTTATCTGACGGCGACGACGACGACCCAGGAGGATGGACGTGGTGCGCGTTTCCTGGGGAGTGTAAAGTGAGATCGATAAACGAACCCACCGATGATAAAGTGAAACGCTCACCAGCACACTAACCTTCTTTGACCTTGTATGACTATGTCTTGTTTATCCACCAACCACAATTTTATGTTCATTGTAAAACAATATTCGCCTTGTTGACTCATTTTTCCTATCCTCTAGTTAATGTTCGGTATGTTATTTATGTCTCTCTTTTTCCCTATGTAATAGACTGTACTGTTTATTTGTGTACTAACATTGTGAATTTACTTTTTAGAAACAGATAAAGTTTATGAAGCCAAATAGCTCACTTGTTCTGACTTTGGCGAAACCAAGACTCTGTGCTCGACAGTCTAGAGAATACCTTAGAGTTGCACGTGTAGGAAATTGCTTCCTACAATGTTTGAAACAATAAATTTGTTATACTTACTGAAATTTCTTCAAATAATTGCTACCATTCCAATGAGTTTCCATAGTTTTTACCCCATGATCTGGGAGTTTTTCATGACGATGATCTCGTAGATAACAAATCTAAATGCAATTGCGTGATAGAACTAGAGTTAGCTAGGGTACGTATGACTCTTTATTTTCAATTAGCGTAGATGGATCTAGGTGAAAACTATGAACAAAAAAATATAAAGAAATAAGATATTTGGAATTTTAAGTTAGAGTAACATAAGACGCTTCTGCACTATTTCAGTAGATTTAGAATCATGCCAGTCAGCTTATACAACTTTGACTTCTAATCTTATCAAATAGATTATATGTTTCGACTAGTAGTTTGAGAATTCAAATAATGTCTAACGATTCACGATTGGTAATATATGTGCAATTCAAGGTCTCACTGACTCAATTTACCTTACTGTAGAAAATTACAGTCGTATTGTATATTTTATGGTTACACACAACTAGTAAATTACAATAACCTATCACGTTTCGGATACTTTAGTATGATATCACAGTTTTGTGTCGGTCTATCAGTAGTTGACAGATTTAACTCTCCACTACTAGTTACAATTTTTAAATTATTCAGTGTTACTTAACCCCGCCTGTCGCTCCTTCGTGGGCTACTGCCGGTCCCAAGCCCAAATAAAGGAGGACGGTTGGGCATGGGTTTAGCGACCCTATCCTGTAGAGAACTAACTCGCTAAAAAAACGACAATCAGAAAAATTTATTTAAACCATTTAAACTCTGCCTTGGGAGTTGAAAAAGAATTATGACGCCTCATGATGAAAGCCAAGTTCCTTCGGAAGTCACGAGGTCGATGCTTCTTTTTGACAATCAGAGTAACAAATTTTATAGGTACATGGAACGTCCGGACAATGTGGGAGACCGGGAGAGTCTTCCAAATTGCTGCGAATTGAGAGTTACTTGAAAATGACAATATTCAACGACTAGTCTTTGTGTTTACTTTCATGCACTAATAAAATTGTTGTGTATAGCCAACAAAATTTTTACTGTTTCAGAAGTCATAACATAGGTTATTTGCTACTACCTAAGTAGCTCTTTAATAACACCTATAATTTAAACGATAGTTTGATTTCTAAAAGATATTCTATCTATTGCCTTTAATAATCTTAGCCTCATTTGAAACTTGGTCGACAAAAGTTTATCATTGGTGAAGTTTAAATAAAATGATGTTGATTACTTTTTTTGTAGTTATCAAGCTAATTTACTCTTTTTGCAATAATTAAAGAATATGTAAGTATATGGTCAATCAACATTGGTTTAAGAATGTTTTAATGATTACAGAAAAAGGGTTTTGTGGAGATTTCAGCATTTTCATAGTTGAAGTCATTAGTCAATTGAAGCTAGACCACCATGAACATTAATACCGTTGGATGCCGACTCAGTGGTCTATCGGTTAAGTGCTCTAGCGCGAGACTGGTAGGTCCTAGGTTCGGATCTCGTGAGGCGGGATCGTGGATGCGCACTGCTAAGAAGTCCCACAATAGAACGAAATGGCTGTCCAGTGCTTCCAGGTTTTCCATGGTGGTCTAGCTTCAATTGACTCACGATCTCAACTATGAAGATTACAGAAAACTCAAACTTTTCTTTGTTTGTTGTAGGTTAGTCCTGTTGATGGTGAAGTACTCCATTGTGGTCCGATTAATTCAAAAAATGCTGTTTTAGAACAAATTAAAGGAATTCGTTATTCATTAGATGAATTTCTTGGTCCAATGGGAAGCATAGAAAGTTTGAATGGGAAGAAATCTGATCGTACCCTTTATCAATGTGTTATTTATTTAGCTCCAGGAGATTACCATCGATTTCATAGTCCTGTTGAATGGATTCCTACAGTTAGACGGCATTTTCCAGGTATGTTACGCAATATTAATTTTAGTTAATTCATTTCCCCTGGGAAGGTGCTTTCTTAGTTATTCTCCGTTTATTAAGTGAACGGTATGATTCAAACTGTAAGAAAGAAATACAGTATATTTTCATTTCTTGGTATCTGTTACATTAATGTGATGATGAGGTTTCAAAGTCTAGGTATATTTTAAAAAGTTGCCGTTCTTCAGGATGAAGTTTTATCGAGAAATATGCGTAAGTTGAGGACAACAAATCTTTAGTGCATATCAGTGCCGTTCCTGACTAACACTCATTCATAAATGTTTTATGTGTAATGAAAACACATCTTTACGTAGTTCACATGTCGAGTACAGATTTATGTACACAACTTTGGGGTACATGTTTTTTCATGAGGACTAATACTAATGTATCGCGTGGTTTGAACCCACAACTAGTTAGTCAGGTATTTCAATCATTAAGTCACAACTTCATGTTGCTTTTCAAACTCTAAAAAGTAGTAAAAAGAAACAGATGTAGAATGACACATCCTAATTTATTTTTATTCTTGCCATATAGAGCAAGTAAAAAGCTTCAAAATGCAATTACATCTAAGGATCTTTGTAAATGACTTCTTACATGTATCTTATTTAGACTGATTATATTAAATGATTCATCCATAGGTTGGATAGTTCATTGCTATCAGCTTCGTCAATATAGTAAAATAATCCCTAGTGGTGAACTGACGAGGAAATGTGGTTTTCAGATATTACCGAATTACTACCTTACACTTGTTACCACTAGTATTTTCCATCGAACTATGTCATGGGCAATAATTTCTACGTGTTTCCAGTTGGTATTCATCCTGCTTCCTATTCACGACGAAGTTTTTTCTTTAGCCTCCGTCTTTTCCGCTTTCCTTCAGTATTTCAAGTTAGCGCTTGCCTCAAATGCAGTTTGATGATTTTTTCAATATATATCTTATCCACTTCCAACGTCTTTTCCTAATTTCCTCTTCAATTGGGAGCTGGTTTGTTCTCTCCCACAGTAAGTTGTTGCTGATGGTATCCGGTCAACCGACATTGAATATTTTGTGTAGACTACTGTTTAAAAATAATTATACCCTTTTGATGACGGTTGTAGTAGTTCTCCAAGTTCCAGCTCCGTGCAGTAGGACTGTCTTGACGTTCGTAATGAAGATTCTGACTGAAATTAGTTGACAATTGTTTTGAGTTCCTTATGTTCTCCATTTGTAAAAATGCTGCTCTTGCTTTGCCAATCCTTGCCTTTACGTCTGCATCGGATCCTCCTTGTTCGTCGATGATGCTTTCCAAATACATGAAAGTTTCCACCTGTCCCACAGCTTCTCCACCAAGTGTGATCGGGTTGGTGTTCTCTGTGTTGTATTTGGAGATCTTCGTTCTTCTCTTATGTAAGTTGAGGCCTATTGGTGCGGGGGCTTCTGTTACATTGTTTGTTTTCACCTTCATTTGTTGGTGTATGAAATAGAAGAGCCAGGTCATCTGCGAATTCCAAATCGTCTAGTTGCATCCAACCTGTCCATTTTATTCGGTGCTTTTCCTCAGATGTGAAGCTCTTCATAATCCAGTCGACTTCCAGACGAAAGAGAAAGGGCGAGAGTAGTCAGTCTTATCTGAATTCGGTCCTTACTTGAAATGCGTCTGTCACTTGTCCTCCATACACCACTTTGCACTGTAGTTCATCGCATAGATTCCTGATGATATTGACGATTTTCTCAGGTACGCCATAAAGTCGAATATGGTTCCGTAATGTTTTCCTATCCATAGTGCCGAACGCCTCCTCATAGTCAGTGAAGTTGATGTATAGCAACGAGTCGCATTCAATTGATTGTTCAACGACGATCCGTGTTGTCACGATTCGGTCTGTGCGCGATCAATCCTTATGGAACCTTACCTGCTTATCTCGAAGCTGGGTGTCTACTGAATCTCTCATCCGGTTCAGCAACACCGTTAAAAACTTCCTGGCACTGATAGTAATGTGATGTCTCTGTAGTTTTCACGCTTGCTCAGATCTTTTTTCTTTAGTATCTTGATAATATGTCCTTCTTTCCAGTCTGTCGGTCCTTGTTCTTCATCCCAAATCTTCATAAATAGAACTTGGAGTATGTTCCTAGTTACTTCTAGATCTGACTTGAGTACTTCAGCTGTTATATTGTCAGCTCTTGCTGCTTTCCCATTCTTGATTTGTCTGATGGCCATCCTGATTTCTTCGGTCGTTGATGGAGTGATGTCTATAGGAAGGTCTGTAGGTTCTGCTTCGATATCCGGTGGAGCTGGCCTATTCAAGAATTCCTCGAAGTATTCTGCCTATCTGTTCCTCTATTCTTGAATCTCCGTGATTGTTTTCCCTTCTTTGTCCTTAACTGGTCTCTCTGGTTTACTAAATCTCCCTGCTTGTTTCTTCGTCGTGTTATGTAGTTGTTTCATATTTCTTTCTCTTGCAGCTTCTTCCACGTATTTCTGCTTGCCAGCTCTAATGCACTTGCTTGTTTGCTTCTGTATATCCACCATGTGCCCTGATTTTCTCTGTTCTTGTTCGCCTATTGTTAATTGCTGTAATCTTGTCCTTCCTTTCTTGAATCTTGTCTATGGCTTCGATAGAGATCCATTCCTTATGATGATGATGCTTCTTGTGGTCCAGCACTTCGTGATACGTTGAAGTTAGTGCTTCTCTGATCCCTTTCCAACTGTCCTTCATAGTAATTCCTCTTCTCTGAGTAGATCTTGTAATGCTTGTAACCTGTTGTTGTGAGCTATATTGAATTTGTTGAGTTTATCGCTGTCTCGAAGGAAGGCTGTATTCAACCTTTGTAATGTTGTTTCTTCAGTTGTCCATTGCTTCTTTAGATTTTTATATTGGCAACCACTAATTAGTTAATAATCTGAAGCTTTGTCAGCTCCTCTCCTGGTTCTCACATCTTTCATTGTCCTTCTGATTTTTTAACTGATGCAAATATGATTTATCTGGTTTTTCGTAGTGTGTTCCGGTGAGACCCTTATAGCTTTGTGTATGTGTTTGTGTGGGAATATTGTGTCGCCTATAATCACTTTGTTAAAAGTACATAGATTCTCAAATCTGTTACCAATCTAGTCCCTTTCTCCCAATCCATTTCGTTTCATGATACCTTCATATACTGTATTGTCCATTTCGACTTTGGCTTTCAATCCTTCCATCAGGATTGTCAGATCTTCTCCTGGGTACTTCGCTATGATCGATTACAGCCTCTGGTAAAACTGATCTTTATCGTCTTCATTGCTGTCATTGGTGGGTGCATAACATTGGATAACATTCATTGTGATTTTCTCCTCCTTTGTTTTAAATGATGCTTTGATAGTTCTGGATCCTTTAGATTCCCATCCTACAAATGCTTTTCGTTCTTCATTGGAAAACATTAGAGCAACGCCCTGAGTGTGCGGAGCATTTTTTTCTTTGTGACTAGAGTACAACAGCATCTCTCCCGTACCTAGCCTTTGTTGTCCAGCTTGTGTCCAATGGGTTTCGTTGATTCCGAGTACTTCCAATTTGTATCTCCTCATTTCCGCATCTATTTAATTGGTTCTCCCGGTCTCCTACATTGTCCGGACATTCCATGTACCGCATATGTATCTGGTGCTCTTTTGTACCAATATATATGTGTTTAAATAAATAATTGTACCCATATTAATTGGTGTTCTGGTTGTTAGAAAAGGCATCAGCTTCGTGACTTCCTAAGAATCTCGTCTTTCACCATCAGCCGTCATAATTCTTCCTTCAACTCTCAAGACAGAGTTGTAATGGTTTAATTTGTTCATTCTGGTTAGAGTTTTTTTGGCAAAGTTGTTTTTTATGGGGTGTGTTTGCTGACCCAGTACCCAACCCTCGTCCTTTGCCCTGGCTTTGGACCGCTAGTAACCCTAAAAGAGCTACAAGCGGAGTTAGAGAAGACTAAGTTAATTAACAATATTCTACAAGTATCTGTTTACTGTTGTTACTTTTAAAAATTTACTCCGTATGTGTATATGGCTCATAATATTTGTTTCATTTATGGACTATAAAGATAAGATGTAGTGAAAAATCTGCCGTTAGTCTTTTAAAACCCACTCACAATACTTGTAACAGAAACTAGTTCTCTGCTAGACTTATTCTGCGTTGAACATTAGTAATCACCGTCTAATATATTTTCAGGTTGGTATTTCGACAAATACGAACATATAATCAAATGTAAGGTACTTGTGTACTGTTGTGGCTAATATTCAGATGTGTTGAATGTGTTTTAACATTTCTAATCGAGGTTTTGAGTGGATTATGAAATTAAAGTTTAGAAGAGATTGCCCCTGAGTTGTTGAAACCGTAAATTTATGATAGATATTTCAGTTCTGCGTTGTTTGCTCTATATAATTTTATTATCATGTTATAAAGTGCGTTGTTCCATTTATTCTTCTACAATTCTGTTTTTTCATTACTAGGCAGATTACTTTCAGTACGTCCAAATATTGCTGGACGTCTACCAGGTCTATATACTATCAACGAGCGTGTAGTTTATTTAGGAGAATGGGATCATGGATTGATGTCACTTGCAGCAGTTGGTGCATTCGGTGTTGGTAACATACACGTAAATATCGATCCAACATTAATTACAAATAAGAAAGAGGATAATGCATTACGTTTTCGTTCTTCAAATACACAAATAATGATAAATCAAGAATACAAAGCACCATACTTAGAAGCAATACTTAATGATGATATAAAACTAAAGAAAGGTGATGAATTCGGCTATTTTCGTTTGGGATCTACAGTTGTTCTGGTTTTTGAAGCACCTACAAATAAAATGAAATGGTGTGTTAAGCCAGGTCAACGAGTTAAACTTGGTGAACCAATTATAATAGATTGTTAACTTTTTTCAAAAAATTCCTTTAATACCAATCTTTGTACATTGATCTGTGACACTTGATGTTTATGTAAATAAATAATTTCATTATGATGATGTGTAAATATGACCAATTATATCTTTATTCTCAAGTTTTAGAGTGGTGGGATATTAAGTGATCGTAATCAAATTGTCATGTCCATTAAAAGTGGAGTATGATGTCAGTCAGCTACAACGTAGGACCAGGCATGTATGTGCATCAGTCCAATGTGCCATACCTCACTCATTAGCACAACAAGATGAACACATAATTCATAGAAGTAGTTAATTTAGTGATGGTAATATATAAAAGAAAAATTGTATTTAAGGATATAGTGCGGGAAGAAAGACAGATATGAAGCAATTTTAGTCTCATAGTTTAAGGGAAGATAAGGAGTCTATACACCTACGCCATTGTGATCGATTCTGAGTCATGTCACACACAGTCTTCAACCATTGGTTACGCGGACCCCAACCAAGTAGTCTGCATCTGCCAACATGGCTCAGACTAGTAGCTAGTGACTTCAAGCACTGATGCCACGTTTCGGTTTGGCCACCCCAAACTTTCTTCCAGCCATTACCAATACTAGTCAGCATAGCGCGTCGTGGTAATCGGTGTTCAAGCATTCGTAACACGTGGCCCAACCATCTCAATTGATGGCCTCATCAACTGGTTTACCATCATTCACTAATACCCTGTTTCTAACCCCACTCACTATTACTTACCCGGTGATCCCAGCAGATGCGAGAAAAATTTCTAAGGCATCTGTGGTCAAATACTAGTAACTTGCGAGTATCTTCTACTCTTAATGGCCATGTTTCACAGCCGTAAAGTAAAAAAGAGCGAACTGCTGCGTATTATACTCATCCCTTAATTGATAGAGGAGTATGATGCATCAACTTGAAGTGTTTATTAAAATTCCATCCTCAGATTTATTTTCACACTTGGAATTCCACTGAAGATTATGTTTAGAATAAAATTGAACAATCTTCCACTAAAAATTTCAACTCAATATAATTATATTTTAAAAGGACAACAATACCATTAAAATAAACTCTCTTAAATAGTCTAGTCAACGCATTTCAAACAGCTTGATTTTGCATTTAAATTTGTGAAGTTTTGCTTTTTTAATTTCTTTATTATTGTTAGACTCACTCAATATTATATTTGTAGTATAATATAGAATTCTCAGCACAATGTATTTCAACAAGTTTCCGTTTCTTACTTTTTGGTCGATCCTGAATATAAATGTTGAGTGGACTGCTAACAATTTGAAGTTAGCAGCCCAATAAATCGACATTTAAATAATGTACATTCTTTTCGCTGTATATTGCCAGCACCCATGATATCTGTGATTGGGCCTTTTTTACTTTGTTCTCGAAAGGTTGTACACTTTTCAGAAACGCATCTGAATAGGTTGCGCGAATAATAGCTATAATGATGTATTATAACAAACAAAATTTGATAAATTGTTGAGATATCTAGATAGCAGGAACAGGCGGCCCAGATGTTCAAGCAAATAACAACGATACTTTACACATCTTTTGATGCCAACACTTAACCCTAGTTTGCTCAGATATGTATGTTTTAAGTGTAAGTTTCTCCGAAATGAGTTCAAATGGTTGGGGACGGAACAGAAGAAGCTTTCGCTTAACGGGCTTCCGTGTCTGGTAGCAGTGGATCACCAATACTACCAGGCAAAAATCTAGGTATATGAACGATAATAGAGGGAAAAAAAGAATTTGGTAAATCATAATAATATGTTATCCTTAGTCCTTAAGAATTAGTCAAGTTTTCTCTTAAAGGACTCGTGGGAGGTCGCTTGAACTAGCTCATTCGGCAGCGAATTCCAGCATTTGACAACTCTAACGGAGTAGAACTTGTGTCTGTAGTCTGTTCTGCTATGTAGGGTCTCCAATTTCTGGGTGTTACCTCTGAGATTAGTGTTATGACTAAGCTGAGGAAGATGTTTAAGGAGATGACCAGAAGTATTAAGGATACTGTAAGTCATAAGAAGATCTCCTCTAAGACGCCTGTTCTCTAACGGGTAAAAGTTAAGTGATTTGAGGCGCTCATCGTAAGGTTTGAATTTGAGTCCCTGAACTGATTCCGTGGCTCGACGTTGAATACGTTCCAGAGTGTCCTTATCCTTTTGGAGGGAGGGAGGAAATACTATGTTTGCGTACTCTAAATGGGGACAAATAAAACTGTTGAAGATTATATGGAAGGTTCTACCGTCAAACTGGCCAAAAATGCGCTTCAATGTTACCAGTGCAAGGTTTGCTTGAGAGGCGTTTTTGTCACAGTTCGCATACGATTTCAGGTCGTATGGTACCAACACTCCTAAATCTTTTTCAACTTGGGAAACTTCCAGAGAGGAGTTACCTAAGTTATAAATATAGTCTGCAACATGTCTCAGATGGACTACCTTGCACTTTGAAGTGTTGAAGGTAAGTCCGTTGTCGTCTGCCCAACTTTGAAGTCGAGTCAGATCCTCCTGAAGAACTAGTATATCATTATGACTACGTATCTCTCTCCAAAGTTTCACATCATCAGCAAAAAGCAATAAGTCAGAAGAAACTTGTTGTGGGAGACCGTTAATATAAATCAAGAAGAGAAGAGGTCCTAGTATTGAGCCCTGAGGGACCCCACTAGGACATTCCATAGCCTGAGAGAGAGTGAAGTTAACCCTGACCTTAAAGTGTCGGTTTTCTAAATATGAAGAGAGCCAATCAATCAAAGGGGGTTTTATACACAATCATCCAAGCTTCTTGATAAGACATGCATAGTTGACCCTATCAAAAGCTTTTGAGTAGTCCAGGTAGATGACGTCAACCTTACCCCTGCTATCAAGGATGGTTGTCCATCTATCCACCGCAGTCAGCAAATTGGTCATACAAGAATGACCTTTTCTGAAACCATGCTGTTGAGGTGAGAAGAACTTTGAGGATGATAAGTATTCTAGTACATCGTCGTATACTAGAGATTCCATTATTTTGGGAGGTATGGAGAGAAGGGCCACTGGTCGGTAGCTTGAGGTTTCACTTCGTCGACCTCCTTTGAAAATTGGTGTGATGTGGGCCAGCTTCCATATTTCCGGTAGTTTGCCTCTGCTTAGTTAGTGTGCAAACATCACGCTAAGTGGTGTCGCCAGGATTGAAGCTGCTTCCTCAATACAGCGGAATGAACCATATCCGAACCACGAGAAGTGTCTTTTCTTAGGTGCTGCAGATTACGGAGCACCAGGTCAGCACTCAGGTAGATATCTTTATTAGTAATAATAGTTTTGTGTCGTTATGTCTATGTAATATATTTCAAGTCGTCTGCCTACTTAATAACCATGATCTTATATTGTATCAATTAGCTAACATATATCTTTTTAACACCTGATCAACTCATTTATATAAAGGGAAAAGACAAAAATCATGCCCAAATCTCCATCATTAGTCGGCTACAATTCAGGTGTATTTATATACTAATGTACTGGCAGGCATGCGGGCAGTTTTTTGCGTGGATGAATAGTCAATTTACGGTGACTTATTCAAGCTTCCATGTGACTTGTCAAGTGACTCATCTTATGTGATGTATATATATACTATCATAACTAAGTTATACATATTCTTTAGTCTAAGCTGAATATCGTGCATCTGTCACTAATGAATTGGTGTGAAGAAGAGGTACGTGGTTGAACTTATACTTCAAAAGTTCATATTAAACCATCAGCCCCTTCCAAGTTTTCCAAAATAGAGCGGCGAAACTAAACTTTATGGATGACCTTTGAACGACTCTTAAATTACCTTGAGAAATATTAGTCAATCAGAAGACAGTTAGTATACAGTAAAAATATACTGTTTTTTTACTTCTCACGGTCAAATATAGGTTCAGAAGTTCTAAAACCATGGTGCATACGGTATGGGAACTCATCCATATGGCTCCATAGTAGTCGACGTCTGGAGCCATGATAAGGTTTAAAAAATTATTTTATCCTCGACCACATAGCTTCAATGTTATTGGCATGGTTCAGTATTAGGGTTTAGGTTTTGTATTCGGTTTTAGGGGTTAGGGTTTGGGTCTTAACCTTAATCATGATCGAGCGAAAAAAGTCATTTGAGTATCACAGTTACAAGTATAAGAACTTCTTAATAATCACCTCTTTTGTAGACGCTAAATTATCACGTCTTCTCTAAAATCCTCTGTAAACCGATCGTGTGTAAGCATCGTGTACCGAACTTAGCGCAATGACCTTGAAAACCCGCGAAAGCTTCTGATTGGCTCGTCCATAAAGTTTAGTCCCGCCATCACATCGTTATGCCTCCTATTGAACCTTGCTGAGAATATGAAAAATTAGCTTCTCTCATAGAAGAAATGTTTACGTGATTGATTTTCTCTCTGATCAAGAAATGCATCTACAAATGTTTGTTAATTAACTCATAATAGTATTTAAAATCCCTGTATTATTGTGTTGCATTGAATTTTCTTAAAGTTGTCAAAGTCATGGAATGACTGCACTAACTTACGGATCATAAAATCATCTAACGACTTGTTACTGATTGAAATTCTCACACTTCCTTCCATATACTAGAAATTTCGGTTTATCACAAATTCTGATCTCATTCTATCAACTTAGGTTTAGAACTGGCAATAATGTTGCATATTTTTATAGTGAAAGGATTTCTTATAGACTAGTTCAAAAATCTACATAGTTGGGTGAATATCATGGAAACTCCATTATTTTTGTAAACTAACCAAAACATTCTTATTTTAGATCAGTTCATTCATTTTCAATTACGTCTAAATTGACATCCAACTATTTTCAAAAACTAATTATTTAGATGTAGCTTTTTAATTGTGCAATGCATTATCAACTTCCTCATGTTGTGTTATACCCAAATGAAGAATGAATAAGTGGTAAATTCTAGAAATTGTTTACAGACTATTATTACACATTCACATGGTATTTTTTCTTTGAATATTCCCATTGTTATTT